TTGTGACACTGCCCTCCCTATACTCCATTACTTCTTTTGGTGATCCTACACAAGGTTGTGTCTGGCAACAGATGGAAAAGTGCACTGATCCATGCTTCACTACTTGATGCTTTCCTAAAATTGTTGAGGTAATTGCATTAGTCAGAGCTGCAAAATTTTACTCACTGCTCCCTAATTATTGTACATCCAGGTCTGTTAGCACAATTCATGCATATACACCAGTGAGTTTAGTAATTTTCTTTTTATAGCCTTGATTTATTATTCTGAACAGAGGTGAACTGACTCAAATGGGTTATTCCTGCTTCACCTCCTTGCAAGTTGTCATGGTTTAACTCCTGCTGGCAACTAAGCAGCACACAGCCAATCACTCACCCTCCCCTGGTGGGACGGGCAGAGAACTGGAAAGGTAAAACTGAGAAAACTCAAGCGTTGAGATTAATACAGTTTAATAGGGAAAGCAAAAGCTGCGCACACAAAACAATGCAAAACAAGGAGTTCATTCAGCACTTGTCACAGGCAGGCAGGTGTTCAGCCATCCCTAGGAAAGCAGGGCTCTATCCCATGTAATAGTGACTTGGGAAGGCAAATGCTGTTGCTACGATCTTCCCCCCTCCCTCCCTTCTTCTTTCCTCAGTTGAATATGCTGAGCACGATGCCATATGATATGGAATGTCCCTTTGGTCTGTTGGGGTCAGCTGTCCTGGCTGTGTCCCCTTCCAACTCTCTGTGCACCCTCAGCATCCTTGTTGGTGGGGTGAGAAAAAACAAAAAGGCCTTGACACTGCATGAGCTCTAGTCAGCAGTAATGAAAACATCCTTGTGTTATCAACAGTGTTGTGGTCACAAACCCAAAACCTATCCCACACTAGCTACTCTGAAGAAAATCAACTCCATCCAGTAAAAAGTTTAGTTTCACTGCGACTTCGTTGTTGTCACTCTATATTACAGAACTTCCTGGGTCATTCTCAATAGCCTCGTGTCACTGAAAGCACCTGTACCACACAACCCCTTTTTAAAATAATAACAAGCCTTACCTAAAGCCCACCTAATCCTAATCTAAAGATTTGGTGTTGATTTTCTTTTCACCTATGCTACTGCTACTGGAAGAGTGCTCTGGAAACTCCTTCCTCTGGCACTTATAAATCTTTCCCTTATTTACAATTTGGGTGAGGTAACTGACAGTCTTCATCACAAAAACAGATGAACTTATTTCTTCCTTGCATTTTAGGGAAAACTCATAGACTTCAACAACTATTTGGTTAGGGTAATAATCCTTAAATAACAACACTTTATTTTCCTGCTATAATTTTTCCATTTCTATTATCCTAATCAGCTCAGTCATCTTTACCTGTACAAATTCTGGTTTCAATTAATCTTTCCTGAGTATGTGGAAGTGTATATAGTATTTTAGAGAAAATAGGTGTTTTGAATGTCTCTCATACTGTGAAATATACTTCTGTACTTCTGCTGGAAATACCTCAGTACCTCAGGCCTAAGAAATAGATTTGTCTTATTGAAAGTCAGCACATGTTGCAGATTCAGATCATAATTTTTCATACAGTTTATTACCATCTAAATAAGCAGAGCTGACCTTCACTTACCTCTGCTTTTCACTCCTGTTCCTGTGTATCCTTTCTCTTTGGCCAGCACTATCTACATGACTGTATAGCACACTGAGAAATTTATTCCAGTTCTCTCTTGGCTGTTTCTTCCACCTTACAACTCCTGCACTAACCTCCATTTTTTTCAGCTTAAATCAACCTTCTCACCTGGCACCATACAAACACTTCACTGGTCTTCTGACAGATAACCTCCACTGCATTTTGGTCACAGAATTGGCAACCAAAACGTGTGCCTGATATACAAGTAAGAAACCTTTGGTATGCATATCCAAATTCAAGTGGCACAACAATGCTTAAAGTGAGTTTTGCTCACTCAGGGTGAGGTGAACAAGTCCTATGAAAGAGCTCAGCTAATCCGTGCTCCTGTGTTGGCAAGTATGACAGGCTAATGAGAAATGAGCCACTGTGTGAAGCAGAAGGAATATGGTTAGATGGCATAAAAGGAAAGATAGGGACTGTGATGTGGACCCCACATCAAATGAATAGGATGTCTCAAGGAAAAGGAAGAGGAAGCAGAGTAAACATGGTATATAAAGAGAATGAGAGGAAGACAGCAAAGAAAAGAAGACAAAAAACAAAGGGGAAAGAAAGCAATGACAGAAGGAAAAGGAAGAAAAGAGAGTGCAAAGCTCAACACTTGGTCACCTACGACATTTCCATCACAGTCCCAAAGCAATACACTGAAAGGGTTATTTTCCCACCTCATTCAAGGCTATAGAAAGGTCAAAAAGTTGTCCTACATCTGGACTTGTCTTTTTAACAGGTGTTGTGCTTGAAGTGCAGATCCAATAAAATCTAGCACATCACCATTTATGAATAAGCTCTCCCATTCTCCATATTAATAAAATTTTGGGGCATTATTTATCTAAAAAATATGCTTATAATATATAATTTTAAAGGCACCCCGTGTAGCACATAATGGGGCACTGCAAATTGGTTATATAATAAGTAAGTAGAAGAAAGAACAATATAAACAGTGGTTTGCAGTGTTGACCCTATGTTGTTTCCTGCCACAATGAAAGTAAAAACACATGTTCCCTGACAACCATCAAGCACTTTGTCACTGCTGTTGGACATTTTGCTGCCTTAGGGCTTGTCTACATGCAAAGCTACGTTGGTTTAGCTGGGTTTAATTTGCTGCAAAGGGCTGTGTGAATTCTTATTTTGACTTAAATCAGACTTGCTTCAGTTCAGTTCAACAAACTAAAGGTCAGATAAAAGCCAAGTAACTCTGTTGATTAGGACAATCATGGTTCTAATCAATTGCTTACAATTATAGTGCTGCCTGCACTGGCAAAAGCTGACTTTCTAGTAGCTTATCTTGATGAAGTTTCACCTGATTCTTCAGACTGTTTTAATTGACTTTAATTGCACCTGAATGGTCCTTCGGATCTAGTGTGACATGAGTTAATGTGACCAAATCTTTGCTGCTGCTGAATGCAGAATATATATCTAAAATATTAAGTTCGGTGGGAAAATGCTGGTTATTCTGAAACTTTTTTCCAATATTGCACCCAAACACAGGCACTTCTCAGCATATAGATGGTGGCAGCAGGGCACAGGACATTCCAAATTAAACAAGTACATCATGCACACAGGGCTTCCTTAATTCAAAGCCTGCAAAAGCAATTTTGCCTCAGTCTTGCCGGGTGAAGTGCTCGGTAAGAGTACTCAATAACGATTCCTGAACATGGGGAAACTTATCTGCTTAGGCAAATGAAATATAAATGAAGAATTTAACAAATGGAAAATGAGCCATCATTACTGCAAAGAAGAGTGTCCACAGAAGTAGTAGTACCAGTATAGTAATAGGAGAACAATTATAAGACTGCAATAACATCAGTACATTTCCTGAGTCTTCCTGTGGAGAACCAGAACTTTCCTTAGTGTTAGAAAGGCTTGTCAGCACCCTCCTTTCCAAGGAAATACTCCAAGTACTTCCTGTGCAGAGAAAAAAGCTCACAGCAGAGGAATCATTCTCCTATTTTCCATAATTAGTTTTAGGTCGAGGCAACTCAGGCCAGCATAAGGTGAATTTCACCTAATTGTTCCAACATTGTCACGAGCTATCTGTTCCAGAAAGCAAATCATTTGTTGGGAAGAAAGGTTCTGCCAGGTCACCCCCACCCCCTGGAATCTCAGCCATACTAAGGGCAGCACAACCACACTGCCAGCAAAGCACACTTGTGTTTAGACTGAATGGGTGCCGCTATGGCTTAATTAGCAATATATGCCACACATTGAACACGTATACAGCAATCCCTGCTTCCAAATGATGGTAAGGTTTGCTGGATTTTTATACAGTTAGAGAAAGCCTAGCTTATACTTCAGAACACAATAAAAAACACCAAAGTGCTAAAATTTTACAAGGTCACATTCATAATTTTATCTTCCAAAAACAACCTGCCTTTACGTCCATGGTTAAATTAACAAGATACGGAAAAGCTAAAAGTTACATATATTTTGGGGGGCTATCAACCTCTGTCAGCTTTTCCATTGGGGTGAACTGCAACACAGTTTATTTCAGTCAGGAAGCTGCACAGGAAGGAGTTGTGCTCTTCCCACAAGCACTCTTCCCTCACCGCCCTCCTTAAGCAAGAATGCCCTTTATGCAATCGCGGGGAAACCAATCGGTTACCCTGAGATACGGCTCCCAACACTGCGAGGCCTTTCCTGGCGTGTCCTTAGCTGTCACCTCCGACTCCCGCACGCTCCCTGCTCTGCCCTGGCCATGGGGGCCACTGAACGCACTTTGCCCCTCTTTCACACACAGACAAGCGAACCGCGGACGTGCTGCCGCAGCCCCTGGGCTGCCACCCTTTGTCCCGACAGGAGCCCTCGCCCCTTCCCCGGGACCCCAACGCATCCCACACCCCAGCCCGCACCCTCCCAGGGGGGATTTAAACCACAGCCCGGAAGCCGGCGCAACCGGCGTGGAGCACGCCGGGAGTTGTAGTCTTAGGATCCCAGTGGCCACCCGGTCTTTGAGCATCGGGGGCGGGGCGGGAAAACCACGAGTCCCGTGAGCCTCCGCGGCGTGGGGGGGGCTGGCGTTTGAACCGGCGGCGTTGTTGTTGACGCCATATTGCTGGTGCGGGGGTTACGGCCGGGAGCGCCATCGCCGCCATCGCCGCCGCCCGGGCCCCTCTGCCGCCATCGCCCCGCATCGGCCGCCCCGCGTCGCGCCCCCGGCACCGGCTCCGCGCTCCTCGACACGGATCGCGCACCCCCACCGGCTGAGGGCGGAATTTGTCTCGGCCGGGCAGGGCGGAGCGGGCGGGGAGAGCGGAGATCCAGCCAGACCGAGCCGGGGCTGCCGCTGCCGGGGCCGCTCCCCAGAGAGAGACCGGCGGGGAGGCGGCGGAGGCGGCCCTGACGCAGCCGCCCCCTCCTTTCCCTTCCCTCCCCCCCAGCCCGCCCCAGACAGCGGGGAAGGCGCCTCTGGGCAGGGCCGGCTGCTGCTGCTCCCACCGCCGTCTGCGCTGCCCCTCGCTCCGAGCCCCCTCGGCCGCCCCGCGCCATGGCTTGCGGCGCCACTTTGAAAAGGACTCTGGATTTTGACCCGCTGCTGAGCCCGGCGTCCCCGAAGCGGAGGCGATGTACGCCATTGTCAGCCCCGGCCTCGGCCGCCTCCTCCTCCTTCGCCGCCGCCGCCTCCTCCCCGCAGAAATACCTGCGCATGGAGCCCTCGCCCTTCGGAGAGGTGTCGTCCCGGCTCACCACAGGTGAGGGACGCGGCACCCCCCGTGCCCGGCACTCCCCCCCCCCCCTGCCCCCCGGGGGCACTTCGGCGGGGAAGGGGCCGGGAAGGCAGCCGGGGAGCGGGGAGGAGAAGGAGGAGGAAGAGGGGAGGGTAGGGTGGGTCTGGCGTCCCCCTCCAGCCATTTTCTGCTGGGCTGCGCCGCTGGCAGCGGCCAGGGCGATTCCTGCTCGGCTTGGCACCGAGAGACACAATAGAAATGGCCGTTTGCAGCAGGAGAGGGGGAGGAGGAGGAGGGAAGGGGAGGAAGAAGGG